TATCTCTTTGAATTAAAGAGCATATAATTTATCCTAATTCTTTTTAAAGAAAAGCGTACCGTGTTAAGTAAGTTGAAAAAAAAACTAATCATCAAATTATTTTACCCTCCCACGTTTATAATGAAACAGCGGTAATCACCATGACTTGTTGACCTGTTGGAAGGTATATGCATGTCTTGTTAGGAAGGTATACACATTGACCATCTAGAGCATTTCAATTCCATTGTTTTTAATGATATTATAATATATGATTGGGATTAACTTTTTTTTTTAATTTTCATTACGACAAATTAATTTATTCTTACAATATATATAAAAAGATTTAATCTTCTATGTCGATTAGTCTTGTTCTCCCATCACTCATGTTATTTAACACTTTGCACTGCTGTAATTTTTGTAATTTTAGGAGGACTTTTTGAAGCGAAAGACTAATTGTGATAATGCATTAGCGGCTGGGGCAGAGGCATCCACTTGTCAATATGATGACATGTTATTATTGCAGGCTGTTGTTGGTGTGAACAAGAAAGGTTGAATATATGGTTTAGGTGCAGAGGCGTGGAATTATAAGTTCACAAAGATTTCTGCTAGCTCGTTAGGAGTCTGCTGAAGCAGAAATATGAGAACACACAGCAACAAATGACTCTTATGAAAAAGAAAATAGACCGAGAGATGGCAATTATGAAAAAAGCAGCTGATGATGTTGATGGCTCGTTTAGGAGGAGATGTGCGCACCTCCACTATTATGACTTCAGCTCTAGATGCACAGAGTGATGATTATGATGATGATAGTGATGCTCAGTTGCATAATGATAATTGATAGTATGCATATTTTCTTTTCTTATTTTCATTTGTGAATATTACTTGTTATCTCATACATTTATTATTTTTTATGAATTCACGTAAAAACTTATTGTATTACAATGGTTGGATTTGATTTGATCTTTATTTTCATTTAGTATAGCTACTTTATATTTTGTTCAATTGGATTTGCTCTAAGAATATTAGAATATAATTAATATGAGGTTTCGGTAAAAATTAAATTTTGAATGTAATTGATTTTGAAAAAAAGATTAAATATTAGGGACGAAAAATAAAGACAAAAATATATGTCACCAATTGGAATGGAAAACATTGTCATTAATAGAGATAGAAATAATATATTACTAATAGAGAAAAAAAAATCCCTCACTAACAGAGACAGAAACAATCTATCACTAACAGAGATGGAAAAATATCCATCACAAATAGAAAGGAAAAATATTCGTCACTAACCGAGATGAAAATTATCCATCACTAACAAAGACGAAAAATTGTTTGTCACTAACACAGAGGGAAAAATCCATCACTAATAGAGACGAACAACTTCCGTCCCTAATAGGAACGGATTACACATATTTCACGTGCATAAATTAGTGACAGAAAATAATATCATAGGGACGGATTTATCCATCACTATCGGAGAGAGAAATATTTCTATCTCTAATAGTGATAGGGCTGGCAATATGGGCCAGCCCGCCCCGACCCGCCATTAGCCCGCCCAAAATGGGCTGGCCCGCCCCGGCCCGTTTTGACAAAATGGGTTGAATTGAGTAACCCGGCCCGTTTTATGAGTGGGCTGGCGGGCTACGGGCCAGCCCGCCTAAAATAAAAAAATATAAAAATAAAATACAAAAAATTAAATTCTGCAAAAAATCACATAAAAAAATCTGCATAAAAGCATACAAAAATTTGCATAAAATCCTAATGTGCTTATAAAATCCTAGTGTTTAATAATCTGCATATAAATATGCATCTTTCAATCCAAAAATAATAATAAAAAAATAAAATCATATCAGGATAAAATAGAGTAACAAAACAAGTAACAAAGTGTTGTATGAGCAGTCCACAACAATTCAAAAAAGCCACTTGCATGCAGAGAAATCTAAGATACGGAGCTACATAACAATTGGGTAATCTAAAAAAAAAAAAAAAAGGACTTGGCGGGCTGACCCATATGGGCTAGCGGGTTTGGCGGGGCGGGTTTGGCGGGCTGGTGGGTTAAAAAACTCAATCCAGCCCGCCCTATTTAGCAGGCGGGGCGGGCCAGCCCGGCGGGCTCAGCCCATTTTGCCGGCCCTAAATAGTGACATAATTTTTTTCGTCTCAGATAGAGACAGATTTGTTCCGTCCTAGAATTCGTCTCTATTAGGGACAAATTCATAATTTTGTTTCTACCTGTTAGTGACGAGCCATAATGTGACGGATTTTTGTCCGTCCCTAATTTCGTCACTAATGTATTTAGTGACAAAAATATTTCACTTAGTGACGGAATTATTCCGTCTCTAATTGATGTTTTTTTTAGTAGTGTGTATATTGAGCGCCACTGAATATAATGTGACAAAAAACTAAAAGGGATAAGGATATGAAATAATTTAAGTTTAGCACATCTAAAAGTAACTAATTAAATCACTATTTAATTACAATAAGATCTTACAAAAACTGTAAATTATAAATAGTTGATATTAAGAGGGATTCTCAAGACAGTAATAATAATAAAATAGGTCGTAATATATAGAGACGCGCGCGGAGAATCTGCAGAGGTGGACCATGCAGGGAATTCAAGATATGAACGAAGCATATACAAACAAATAAATTACACTGAATCATTTAAAAGAATGAAGCCACCTGCACCTCACAAACCTTATGAGGTGTAAGAAATTAGGGTTGATAGCCATGCATGGCTGAAGAGTGTCACTCACCTTCATTGACGTGTCCCTCCCTTCACCCTTCTCTCTTCCCTATAAATCACCACTTCTCAGGTTCCCCATTACACCAGCTCAAGGTTATTCATTCATTCATTCACAATGGCAAAGCCTTTTCTACTCTCACTTTCACTATGCTTTCTATTCTTCACCAGTTCCTGCTTCGCTCTGTTCCACAAGCTCAACGAGTGCCAGCTCGACAAAATCAATGCATTGGAACCTGATAACCGTGTCGAATCCGAAGGTGGTTCCATCGAAACATGGAGTTCCAAGCACCGTGAGCTACAATGCGCTGGTGTCGTTGTTGTAAAACGCACTCTCAACCCTAGAGGCCTTCACTTGCCATCATACACACCTGCTCCACAATTAGTTTTGATCGCCGAAGGTTCTTTAATTCATTCTTTTCATTAATATATATAAATTTATGTAAGATATATATATATATATATATATAAAACATTATATTATTCGAATGTTCCCTTTCGTACGTACATGCATATTAATTAATTAATGTGATTAATGTAACAGGGGAAGGAGCAATTGGAATTACAATACCAGGTTGTAGTGAGACATATGAAGAGGCACATTCACAATCTGGACAAGGACGAAGGAAAATACAACTGGACAGACACCAGAAGATTCGTCACTTCAAACAAGGTGACATCATCGCAATTCCACCTGGCATTCCTTACTGGTCTTATAACTACGGTGATCGACGTGTTGTTGCCATTGCTCTTATTGACACCAACAACTTCGCTAACCAGCTTGACGCTATCCCTAGAGTAAGTATTCAACTAATTTTAATATATATATTTCTCATCTTCTAAATAATTTTATTTCCTATATGTTCATGTGAGATTATCTTCTAGCATTAATCTCATATATATAGTAAAGTTTATTTGTTTTGATTGTTTTCTAATTATTTTATTTTATTTCCCAGGTGTTTTATCTTGCTGGGAATCCGGATACACAGCTTCCAGGGACACAAGGTAAACAACAAGGGAAGGAGCAGGAAGAGGAGGATGAAGGTGGAAACGTGCTTAGCGGATTCCCCAAACGCTTTTTAGCACAAGCGTTGAGTGTGGAAGAGGAGATAGCAGATAAACTTCAATCTCCAGATGAAGAAAAGAAGCAAATTGTGAAAGTGAGGGAAGGTCTTAGCGTTGTAAGCCCTACCTGGAAAGAAGGCCAGGAGGAAGAAGAGGAAGAAGAGGAGGGGGAGGAGGATGAACCACGCTCCAGAAAGCATCGACGTCCAAGAGGTGGACAAGAGGAGGAAGAGGTGGAGGAGGAGGAGCGAGAAACTGTAACTAGAGAGCACAGGCAGCGGCGGCGGCCAAGAAAGGAGGAGGAGGAAGAGGAAGAGGAACAACAAGAACAAGGAGGCAGGGGAAAAGGAAAGGGAAAGGGAAAGGGAAATTCAAATGGGTTGGAAGAAAGTATATGCACATTGAAGCTTGTGGAGAACATTGCAAGGCCTTCACGGGCAGATCTCTACAACCCAAGGGCCGGTCGCATCAGCACCCTCGATAGCCTCACCCTCCCCGTCCTCCGCTTCCTCCGACTCAGTGCACAGTATGTTGTCCTCTACAAGGTACGTAATCTTCATTCATTTCTTTCCTCTGTTTTTTTTTTTTTAACTGGCAATTAGTGGTTTCCAATTGGAACCCAAATTCCTTATCACTAGATTAATGGCTTTATTTTCAATTATTATTATTATTATACATGCAGAATGGCATATATGCTCCACATTGGAACATCAATGCGAACGGCGTGATGTACGTGACAAGAGGGAGTGGAAAGGTTAGGGTGGTGAACTGCCTAGGAAACTCGGTTTTCAACGGTGTCCTGAAGAGGGGACAGTTGCTAGTGGTGCCACAGAACTTCTTGGTGTCCCAACAAGCAGAAGAAGAAGGATTTGAGTACGTTGTTTTCAAAACAAACGACAGAGCGACCAGCAGCCACGTGAAGCAGGTGTTTAGGAGCATCCCTGCGGAGGTTCTTGCCAATGCTTTCGGACTTCAACAATCTCAGGTGAGTCAGCTTAAGTTCAACGGAAACCGAGGCCCTTTGGTCCATCCTGGTTCTCAGCCTCGATCAATCCCAAGATCGCTTCCTTACTAAAGTGGCATCAACTACACAATATGCTACCTTCAAATAATGAAATAAATTTTGGATGTTTAACTACTTCCGGTACCTTAATATTATATATTATGTGGCCTTATGTAAGTGGTGATGAGTTTCCAAGATAATGTACTTGTGGCTAGTTTTGTTCGATGTTGTACTTTCGAATCTCCTTAATAAAATGCGACTTTTGAAGTTTTGTCTTTATTTCAATTTGTTCTTTTTTATATGTGGGTTGATTTTTTGGCAACCTTAAATATGGGTATTCGTTCTTTATAATTGTAAAATCCTCTTTCTTGCAACATTAAAAATGTGCATGTTAGTTCACCAAAAAAAAATGTGTATGTTCTGTGTATATCTTAAAAAAAGAAAGTATGATCCGGTAACTTAAGTTGTTACCATTGTCCTCCGTATAAGATAGTATTATGAAGCTAATTTAGATTGCTAACGTTACTCCCGTAGACAGGGTGAATATACCGTCTATAGTAGAGAGTTATGTACGTATATGAAGCTAGCAGTTGATCCATAGACAAAAATAATTAAACATGTAAAAAAAGATAATACTGTTCCCGACTCATTTAGACTGGTAGTCTGTAGTAATCCAAAGGAGCAAGAGCCTTTTGAGAAAAACAGAACAACAAAATCAGAATGAGAGAAAATACTTCACTCAGATTTGATTTCACACGTTTGTATTTGCTAATTTTATACAATATACAAATTATTTAATTTTCTGTCAGCAATACATTACTTGCACAAAATATGGATCACCATTAGTTTACAGACAAAACTAGAATAAAAAAAAAAAAATATCCCAACTAAACTATTAGATGAGAGTAGTTTGAAGTCAAACAACTTTCTTGACTGCAGAAGGCAAATCACAGGTCTAACAATATCCATATCACTCCGATAGGATCGTGCACAAAGATAACCAAAAGCTACACAATACAAGTAGTAACTTGCTCCCTCCAACCCAAAGGATGATGTCATAGTCAACTGATGATCCATTCTTCCCAATCCAGCTAGAAGCAAGAACACTGAGCACAGTGGGCTTTTAACGACAGAGATGTAGATTTTTATGCCCTCTCCAAGTTTAGTGCAGGAAGTTCTTCATTGGATCATCATGGCGTTCCTTCTTCATTCTGTATGCCTCCATATCCTCAGCAGTAACCTGAAGCAATAAGATGATAAGAAAATCTGCAAAAAGGGCATGCATACAGATAAATTTTCAGCCAGTGTGTGAAATGAAAATCATACCTCATCATTCCACCTAACATTATATTTGCGCTTTCTCTCATCTTTCTCTTCTCTCTTTCTTTGATCCTCCTGTGCAGAACCAATATTCACCAATCAGCACAACATAGGCACACAATACAAGTTTGAGTAATTTACAGAAGTTTGGCTGAACCAGGAAAAAATATTTTTCATTAACATCTCTAAAGTTGGAACAAAACATATTTTGTTAATAGAAATTACATTCAACATTAATTTTGAATCAATGATGGCTCAAAACAATAACTAGTACTATAGGAGGAAGAACAAGACATAAAGAATAAGGACAGATATGAATCAGACTAAGACGTACCTTTTTAAGTGCATCAGAAAGCAATTTTTCATCCAGGACCAGATCATCTGGGACATCAGTTCCCCATGTAGCAAGCCTTTTCTCCTCCACTGGTGTACGATCCTCTGTACAGGTTCGTGAAAAGAAATCAAGATCAGTAAAAGAAATTATTAAAGTACAAACGAAAAACTAAGGAAAGGGGGAGAGGTGCAAAGTGTGGTGTAAGTCATTTTACAAACCTTCAACGGCTTCCTTACGAGCAATATTAGCTTTCATCAAATCACTTGCAGCCTCAGCAGCCTCAATACCAGCAGCACCTGTGCAATAGCTATTACGTATTGTCTGCTTGCAGCACTTATAGCCCCATTGGTGATCTTTCCACCATGACCCCCAAACAGTTGTGTGGTTGTTTATGAAAATATCTTCTTCATACTTGCTCCTTGGAAGTGCTGCCTCCTGTTGGAAGCTTCAGTTAGATAACTAATTCTATCACCTTAAAAGAACATTAATCACCAAGCAGAATCCTAAATATTCAGAATAAAATTATTGATGACCCGTAAATAGTTCAAGACAAAGGTAAAGCTACAGCATCACAATAAAGATTTATAAGCAAGTTGGATATGCAAAGTTGAAGTCAGAAGCTGGATTATTAAAATTGAGTGCATATCTCACCTGTCCCTTAATAATTCTACCAGCACGATCATACTCAACTTGCCTCTCACTCTGACCCAGCAGAAGTTCTCTTGGAAGTTTGTCCTCTTCAGCTGCATTGCCATACTTCTCCACAATAGTTTCCTTTGTTTGAGACTTCAGTTTCTCTTTCATTACCTTAAAATTCTTATAGAGCAATTCCGCTTGGGATGGAGCTGCTTGCATGTGAACATCTTGCCCCTTGTCAAATGCTTCCCAAGCATGTATGTTTAATTCCTTGAATTCCAAAGCTTGACCACTATTCCTATATTGGTTATCACCCTGCAATACAAAAACAGATTAAATCCAAATACAAACACTACATATAAAAAAAAAAAAAATTATATAGTTTTCCATGAATTTTGATTACTGAGGTGGGTTACCAAATAAAACTTCTCATTTGGATCTGCATCTGGAATAGGATCTTCACGCATGGACCTGGTCTTGGGATCATAATGTGCAGAATTGACATCAAGATTAAGAAGATATTTTGCAGTGTCCTCTCGAATACGTAGATTCCTGAAGATGAAGATACCTCAGTTCCAATTCATCTATGATAAATGAGGAAAGTAACATAATATATCGCTATAGGACCAATAACTTGCCCCTGCATTAATAAAATGACAATACTACGAGAACTACCTAACAGTTCCTGTACTCCCACCACCTGTAGTACGCACACGCTTCTCAACCTTTGCAAAGTCCATTTGTTTGCTCTCATCGACCTTTGCCTCATCAACCCTTAGATCATCTTCATCTTCATCCACATCCTCATCACTTACTGCATCCTCACCATTTTGATTGCTCCTCTCCAATTTCTTCAGCTGTTGTTCCTTCAAGTATTTCTTTCGAGCTTCATCTCTAGCTTCATACCTCTCAATGACTCGTGCATAAGTTGATGCATCATACCCATTCCATCTGTCCCGTTTGCCATCATAGTCAAGCTCAAAGGTTTCTACCTTTTCATCAGGGGCAATATACTTGTTTGTCCACTTTGCTCCTAACTTCCGTGGTCTTTCCATGCATGACTTTGTATCATGTGTCATCGCTCCACAGCTATAGCAAGTAAATGAATATTTAAGTTACTTACTCAAGCTTGCAACATAAAATGGAAATGCAAACATAAGCAGAACCAGAACACCAACACAGACCAAAAAAATGCCTGCTAAGGGAAGAATTGAAACTTAAGTAAACCAAATACTAAATTTTCTAATTAAGTTGAAGAACAAAAGAGCGTTCATTAATCATCACATCTGAGGACACAAATCACACAACACATACACAACATGGGAATTATGGAGGTACACAACTTACTTTTCACATGCACCTTTCCTATACTTGTCTGCCTGGAAAATCTTAGCACCTCTATCGTACCATGATTTTGTGTAATTCGGGTCTGATTTCCATTTCCTTTGATGTTTCAAACTCTACAAGAGCAGAATATATTGGTTTATTTTTTAACTTCTTTTATCAGCAAAATATTATCACAGAAAGATCTCAAAAAAGTACAAGGGGAGGGGGAAAGACATACTGGTCTCTCAGCATTAAGATACCAAGGTGCAGACGACATATACTGGGGAATGTGTGGGTTGATTTCTTTGCCATCTTCATCAACTTCAGCAGGTGCAAGCCCAGCTTTACGTGCTTCCTCCAACTCAATTTGCTTGCGATGGTCCTCCCTAGACTTAAATGCCACTGCAATTCCCCCATATAAGTTTTTTATATATAAAAAAATATACAAAAAATGGTAATTAAGATATGACAAAATGGGATAAAGGTGGTGTTGATGTTGATGAAGATATGACAAAATGGGGAAGAATACAACTAACAGTTGAATATTTAAATACAACTACAAAACGGTGGATAACAAACTAACATTCACGCATGAAATTACCAACTGATGAACCCAAACATATAGCCACATAAAAAATAATAATTAAAAATAAAAAACAAACAAACTTTGTAGGTATATGATTATGTCTCTTTATTTGAAAATTGAAAGTAAATGACATAATTAAGGGTTAAAAATCTAGCTACCACAAATTAGGCAGTTTCTAGAACAATTAAAGGTACCAAATCCAAAAACGAGTATCAAATTATATAATTTCTGGTTCATTAGAAACCCTAAATCATCCCCAAAAAAGGATTCAATTAAATTATACGAGTAAACTAGGATAACGAATGGATTCATTCATAGAAAGAAAGAAAAAAAAAAAGATCCGAATAAAACATGTGTTGTAGCCCTTCAAAAGACTCAGATAATTATGAATATTTTTGAAAGAAAAGAAAGCAGAAACGAAAAGAGGTACCTGAAGCGGTGGCCATGTTTAAACAAAGTGAGAGTGAGCGATTACGAGATGAAAGGTTTTTGATCGAATGTCAATATGAAAGGGAATGAGGGAATATGAGATGAAAGGTTTTGGATCGAATGTAAATATAAAAGATAATCGTGACAATCCTCTTTGTTCAACTTCAACTGAATTCGGATTTAGATTTTGATAGATATTGTTAGGTATCTATCTTTTGTTGAGAAAATAAAATTTGAACTCTTTATTTAAAATATTTTTTTCTCTGGTATCCCTCCTTGTCTGATGATATATTTTCTCTCGTGTACCCCTTGTACGGTTTACCCCGTACCCCTTCTAAGGGTGATAAACATTTTTTATAGTAAGTATATCCTTCCTTATATTTAAAATTAAATAAATCGAATGTAAAAATATATTTTTTGAGAGGTTATATTTTTTCTCATTATTTTATGGACCGAGTTAGGCTTTGGCTTAAATAGACTAGATCTATATAAAATATTTTAGGCTTAGTAAGTCTGTTAATTTATTTAAGCTTATTAGACATTTTAAAAATTAAAAAAAATATTATTTTATTATTCAAAATTATTAAAATAATAATTTATTTATTTTATTTGAAATAAATAATAAAATATATGCCAGTTTGTTAGCTTATAGATCTGACATGTAAAAGAAAGCATATGTTAATGTTATCAAAAAAAGAAAGCATATGTTCTGTTTTTCTATATAGAATTTTTTGAGGCCTGAATTTATTTTATTTGATTATATGTAATAAATTGAGTTTGACCTCTGTTAAACCGGGTCTCACTGATCCATTTACATCCCTAATTAATAGCAATAAAAGATGATGAGTATGAGAATAAATAGATCAAGGCTAGACTAGACTTTGATCTTAATAGACTAAGTCTATATAAATCAAATTAAAATAAAAAAGATAAAATTTCTCATTTCTTAAAAGGTGTTCTAGTTCAAAATTTAAAATTTAAAATAATATACAGATACTCATTAATTTATAATAATAACATGGTTGTTTTATTTATTTATTTTTATTACTATTAGAATCCATTTATTACTATTAATGAAAAAAATATGATTGGAATAGTTAAGATAAGAGGACAGAATAAAAATAGGAAATGATATTGGCATAATAAATTTATATCATATCTTGTATTCGTGTTAGATAATAATATAATAGTTTGAGGCAAATCATAAAATTTGACAACTGAGAGACGAAGGTCAATGGACAAAATACCCTTTTTAAGCTTTTTTTTTATTTTTTCCTAATTACTAGACGCTGATCAATGGGGAAATATTTTTTATGTTTCAGAACCATCCAATAATTTGGTGTTCCTTCTCACAACACTAATTTTTTCTATTTCTTTTTATCTCTGTTTTTTTTTTTTAATTTTATCCTTCTATTTACATTAAAAAAATCACCTAAAAAATGATCGTTCCAGATCATAATAAATTCTATCGATCAATGGACAACTTTATGTGGGCATGCTTATAAACAAGACAAGAAAAGGGGTTACATTTGGGCCTCAAATTTATTGGATCATATGACTTTTCCATGTAAAAAACTAGTAAGTTAGAGTTCGTATAGAGAAGTCACGAGGTTTCATGACCTTCGGTGGGGCTCTCTCACAAGCCCATTTAGGCCACGCCCCCTAGGCCAGCTTGCGATTCAAGTGGCTATCTCTAACATTTTGCACTTTCGAATGCTTTTGGTACGTCAGGAAATTTTATTTTTCTGGAAAAGTGAGATTGAGATTTTAATTTACCCATGTTTGATATAAAGAATGCAAAAAATTTTTTGGAAAAATCGAATTTCCGGAATTCATTTTTTTAAAGAGGAATACCAACTTAAAATCTCTTAAAATGAGTGATATTTTGAGAATTCTACCCAGTAGAAAAATTTCCCAAAAATTTTTGGACAAAAATAGCCTCTTTGCGGTGCTGTTCTTGGAGGTACCCTTTCTTTGTCTTCCTGGTTCAGTTGATTTGGGCAAAAACAAGGGTAGGAACTGATGGTGATAGCGTTGATTTGGGCAAAGCTTCATTGCGAAGAATTACTTTTGGTTTTGGTTTTAGTTCTGCTTTCTCTTTAGAGCTTCATTGTAAGGATGATGCCCGTTTTGGGTGGTTTTCTAGGGACTCCATCATCAAATAATAAATCAAAATGAATCAAATCTATTCAATTTAGTTATTCAATAGATCATTAATTTGTTTTAACTATTAGATAAGGACCTTGTTTAAAAAATAATTTTAAAAAATGAGAACAGACAAATAGAAGATATAATAAATGCTCTCACTACTAATAGTTTGCCTATATCATTTTTTCTGTAGAATAAATTTTGAAAACATAAATAATATTTGTATACCAAAAAGCTTATACATTATGAGGAGAGATATTCTAACTACCAAAATTTTCTAATACTAACTTACTATTTATCTAATCACCATTAGATTAACATTTTTTCTCTCTTTAAAAACTTTTTAATATTCTCTCTTTGATCCAATGGTGATGTGATGGGTAATAAGTTAGTAGTGAGAGTTTTTAGTAGTTAGAATATCCTCACTCGTACATTATTACCCTATTTCCTTTTTAAATAATAAAACAAACACATGTTCTTCCTTTTTGGTTTTAAAAAAATAGTGGTAAAAATAATAATTTTTACTGTGAATATATCGCCAGCCAATAAATCGCATCAACAAGTATCCTACATCACGATCGAGTTGCATGCGATCCTCGCGTTGGCATTGATTGTTTTAAAATGTGTATTTCACAAACGTCTATAAAAATATGAGGCACGACCTTGCTAGCATAAAGTTTATTCCTTTACCACATAAAGTTTATTCGTTTAGCACCATGTCACGGATTATAATTATCTATATATTTACAGATTTTTTTTTAATATCTAGCCACCCTATAAACTTAGTTTGCCATAGGTTATTATTTTCTAATAATGGGTGAGTCTTACTGCATATCATGTTGTTCGATTGTAATTTGGTGGTCACGGCCACGGGTTTTGATTGCGAAAAACAAAATTTTTTATGATGGATATATATATTTTTTAATACAATGATGATAATTGAACACATAATTTAATACAAACTACCTAAATTATACCAATTTTAGTGGCTTATGATGGATATATTTATAATATAGTTCAAATAATAAATTTACATACAAGCTTAATAGTTGAGAGTATAGTTATAGGTTTGTTCTATATTCCGTGGATAAAGATGTTCAGTCAATTATTGATATATTAATTTTGAATCTAAGTGTTCTCTCATGTATTTGTAGAGGAAATACTTTTGAGATTGCAGATCAATGTGCACATAATAATGGCGTAGGCAAAATAGATGATGTGTGTGCACAATAACAATATATAAAAAAGAGAAAAAAAAAAGTGTCATACTCTTATACTTTACCTTTTATTTATAAAGTATTAATAGAATTCTGAACTTTTAATAACTTTTCCGGGAGTCCAATACTAGGTCTATTACTGTCGTATTAAGATTCATACTATTAAAAGAATATTTCATTTATTTCTTGTATTCTCTTTCTGTTGTCCTTTCATGGGCTTTCTAAAGTATGTGCCTCTAATACAAGCACATAACAAGATCTATATAAGTTGACAACTTGTATTAATTTTAGAATTTTTCCTAAGCTGAAAATAACGTTGTTCTGAATTTCAAATCTGATGTCTGTGTTGAGGTAATATTTCAAACACCTCTAAATTTTAAATCATTTTCTTTGAAACGCATAACCTCCAACATTTTATTCATGCATGGTATTTTGGTATTTTAAAAAGTTTATTTAATTGAGAATGGCAAGGGCTATTTTGGTATTTTAAAAAGTTTATTTAATTGAGAAAAGTACTAAAACATAGTAAAAATATTTAGCCGACATGAGATCTTAACATATATATATATATGAGATAAGTTATTCAATATAATTCCCAGGTCAAAAAATAGAGCAAAGAGATTATTTTTATTTTTTCCCACTTTGTTAGAATGAACATGTAACAAATATTTATAATTGACCATATATATGTATTATGGTAATGCCTCGGTTCTCATGTAAAAATCACACCAAAAGTCCATGCTATCGTACATACTTGATGAGCTAGCAAAAGGGACCCCTTCTTCGGTGAATAATGGAGAGAATGGAAATTGGAACTTCAGGTCAGAACCAATGGCTGGAAAACTGTTTAACTCATTGGAATTATCAGCCGACAGAACTTCGGACCAGAAATCCTCATCCAGATGTTCAACACTGTTATTCATGGACATGTCATGATTAATAGTACTCATAATAAAACTACTGTTATGATCGTAGTTGTCACTAATGGTGAGGGTGGACAAGTCACTACTTGAACACTGTGGAGAAGAGAGTGGACTTTTCTCTCTGATTTCGGCTTTGATCACATGATGAGTGGGAAAATTCACGGGTTCTTGTTCTTGTATGGGGCCTTGCATTTGTTTTGTATTTTTGTGTTGTGGCAGCCTCTTTTTCAAATGGGTGTGCCACACATTCTTTATCTCGTTGTCTGTGCGCCCTGGTAATCTTGCTGCAATAGCTGACCATCTGCAGGGTTATTCAAAAATTAATGTACACACCAACTTGATGCTTGGTTTCAAAACTTAGCACATTTACAATAATGTTATGCACTAACCTATGTGTCAGCCCTACATTGTGCTACTTTTGGAAATTTTAAATTAATGTATTTTTTATTAAGCACGTGAAAAAGTAGCAGCAAATAAAATAATCTTGTTTCGATTAAGGGATCTGCACTAAGTTTAATACGATGTCATTTTAAAACAGAAATCATAATATTTTTGTAATTTTAATTTATTTAAGAATTATAATAATTTTTATATTTTTAATTTTTTAAGATTTCAATACCAAAACGAGTTTTGAAAATAAATACAGATAATTTATCTGTAGTAACTAGAGAAATATTTTTCTCATGAGAAAATGACAAAGTGCTACTATGCCCAAACCAATATCACAAAAAGAAGAAAGATGGTTAAACTATATATTCTTTAAAAAATTAAAAATTAAGGGAAAAAAAAAGGCTACTAAGGAAATATTTTGTTTTTCATTTACATGCTTCTAAGAGTTAATTCACCCATGGAATAAATCCCCTTACATGACATAAAACTATGAGAAATCATTTGGTAATGTTACATAAAATGCACTGTTGCTTCCTGCACATAGATTATATGTGTGCATCACTTTTTTATTTTTTTATTTTTATAAAAATTGGTGGGACCCACTTGCATTGTGAGAGTGGCGTGATGAAAGCTTTATCATGTGACATAATATCCATAAATCCCTAAAACTATATGGAAAATAATATTAATAGTTCATAGACAAATCAACATATACCCTTTTCTTTCTCTTTCTTAAAATACTCTCCATAATCATTGATTTATTCCTAGAGGGTGAGATCATTTTACATAGTATCATATCACATGTGGGATCCACTCTCAAACATGCATACATATGTTATCATCCATCTATTAATATCATGTAGTACATTTTTTTTTTTCAGTTCTGTTTTTGAGAAAAATGATTTTCTTTCAGTTGAGTTAGTGTCAACTTTCATGGAATTGTAATTACCCGAATGAATGTGTATGTAGTGATTTCTAAGGCTCAAAATGCACTAATCAAGAAAAGGAAAAAAGTACTCTAGCTAGCTAAAAAATATTACTTTACCTGTTACCCAACATTTCATGCAACTTGATTATTGTGTCCTCTTCTTCCCTGGTAAAGTTACCCCGTTTAATATCCGATCTCAAATAATTTATCCACCGGAGTCTGCAACTCTTTCCACACCTCAACAGCCCTATTGATTAATGTAAGAAAAAAAAACAAAGAGTTAATTGAATACCCTTGTTAATTTCCTCAATATAGTGCATGTTAATGAACTATAGTATGTTATATAATTACCAGCTTGTTTGGGCAGGGCACGCCAATTTTTGTGGCCATGTGTGTTGATGTAACTGACAAGGATGAGATCTTCCTGTGGAGTCCATGGTCCTTTCTTCAACCCCACTTTCTCGCAGCAAGGAGCTCTCCCCATATTTACTGTGGCTAATCTTGCAGGTGGCAGCTGCCAAAGCCAGAGTGATATTGTTTCGGTTGTTTCAAAGCTCTAACGGAAGGACATGATCCCTCTTATATTTATATACAAAATACCAACTTGAAAGTTAAAGTTTAAATGCAAACCAAAAATTAAAAAAAAGTTAAAGTTGAAAGTTGAAACCTTATAGGGCTATACATGCTTAATTAATGTTACAGGACTATAAAATAAGTGGAAGTGTTAACCCTCTGTTAATCTATTTTTATTTAAAAATAATTATCACTTAAAATAACAATATCATATTCATGTCTCAGCTCATGATTGGTATTTGTCAATTTATCCACATGATTTCAAATTCTTTTTTAACTGAGGCTTCTTATTGAATTGGGCATGCAGGGATGCACTTCTGGTGCAATGTTTATGATGCTCAAACCCCATTTCTATGTTTAAGTTGGCCAATTTGAAATGAAAAAAAAGAAGAAAAAAATGAAGTTAACAAGAAGTAAGAAGAAAAAAATGAAGTTAGCAAAAAGTAGCTAACATTTTGCCCTTAAAACAGGTTTATGATATGGAGACAAGTTATGTACAGGATCCCGGAGAATGTGGCAATGTGTTAAAAGGATTTGAAGGGTTCCTTTCTTTGTCAAAGAACACTGCACTGAATGAATTTCTTCTTTCTGGTTTGCTTTCTTTTTTAAAACATTGATAATTTTCTTCTTCCCTCTCTTGACTTCTCATGACCAAACAACCTGTTCTTTCAGTTCTAGTAGCTTCTCAAGTTTATTTATTTCTGCTGAGCAGAAATAGCATCGATATTTTCTTTCAGAACCTGTTCTTTTTGGACTACACTACATCCTTTTAATGAATTTGGAACAGAAAACATTTCAGAGGCATATTATTTTATGGAAATGTAAAACAATAAACAAAGCTTAGAATTCCCTCCCAGATTCTCAGTTGTATGATTGTTCTGGATACAAGTAGTATTTGAAACCTTGAGAGAAATTAAATGTTTTACAAGAGATTAGTTAAGGTCCTGTCATTTGATTTCAACTTTGTCAGGTGTTAAGATCATATTAGAGCTGTAAACATTTGGAATCTTCAAACTCGAGCATCGAAATCTAAACATTGATTGAGGAATAATTACAGTTTCAACTTTTAAGTTGGTAAGACAGATCTCCAACTCCAATCTCTCCAACTCAGGATGCTTTACTGGGTATGATCCTTCCATCATCTTAACACCCCCATCCACAAAATTAATCATCCTTTTTATGTTTTCTTTCCTCCAATTCTTTTTATTTATGGTCCACATATTAATTAAGTATCGGCATCTTTTCACAAATCTTGGGAAATATGTAAAGAATACATGCTGCATGAACTAAAAAATCTGCTCGTATACCATAGGAGTAAACCAAAGAAAGAAAGAGGTGAACCAAGAGATGCGAAGAGAATAAGGGATTCAAGTGAACAAGATTTTGATTTGTGAAGATGATCCTGAACTGATATTATGATTGAAAATGTTGGTGCAACTTTCTGTTAAACACTGGAATGCAAGAGCCTTGAAAAATCTGCTTTTGTACTAAAATCTGTATATGTTGATGGCAAGTTAATGATAGAAAGTAGAACATATTTGAAGATGACCAGATCTTGACACTGCAATGGGTTCAATTTTGACGACCATATTTGTTTACCCTTTATAATTGATTCCTTGTTAGGGACACTGAGAAGCTTGTAGTATAATTGGATCAGAAACCTCTATGATCGGAGATGAGGCATTGAAGACACAATCTGCAAAATAGCATATACACTAACTTTTCTACTTCACCAATAGCATCTTGCTCTAACACCATGTTAATGCATCTATTTTCGCAATTTAAAAGAAACTTTTCCCCAGGGAACACTTGTTTTAATTCAAGAAGCCTTGAATTAATAACTTTGTGCAAAGCCCTACCCACTCTTATATTTTCTTAGATCAGCAGGGCTTGATACATTCCCTGCCTGGATGAGAGGACTCATTTACAAAATAATAGACTATTTATCTTTATTTGAGGAGTTTTAGTGCTCAATGGTTTGTATCAATCATTCATATCCTTGTCTTTATCTTTATCTCTAATTTCAGGATTTTAAATTCTCATTGGTTTATAATTTGTCTATTTTAAAATGCATGCATCGATGGGAATAAATTTTATTCACAATTTGAGAGTTTCTCTACAACTTTTTTAGCATTCACCAATCGACTTGTCAAAAGGGTTCCATCGTTGTTTGTGACGTTTTCAATTATATCAGGATTCTTACCTCATTGTAACAAAAAAAAAAAAAAAAAAAAATCTTACCTCATTATAGGTAGTAGGTCACAGCTTTTCCATCCAAAATTTGAATATAAAACCATAATTCGGTTCCTTAATTCGTTGACAACTCTCATTATTCTCGAAAGTTCCTACCAATACAGTATGGGGCAAAGGGCTTTTTCTTTGCCAGCCTGTAGTGCTCGGATTCCTACCAAAAACTCGAACGAAAAATTAGGCTCTGTTTGAGTACTCTTCTGCAAAACAGTTTTTTAGTTTTCAGAAACAAAAAAAAACTAAAAAACTCATTTAGTAAAACTTGTTTTGTAAAAAATATTTTAAAAACTATAACTGTTTTTTTGTTTTTAAAATCAAATTTAGAGAACATGTCTGAGTTGTTTTTGTTTTCTGTTTTGGTTTTTAACTTTCAAAAAGAAAAAAATATAGAAAACAACTATTTCCATAACTATTTTACAAAACAGTTTTAAGAACAAAAAAACCAGAACACAATCAAACAGGCCCTTAATTTCTAGGCGTCGCAACTCATATAAGGTGACTAATTTTTCTTACTTCTGTACAGGTGGTTTACAACAACACTGACAAATCATACGAGAAAGAACAAGTTTAATAAAACAATCATTAACTTGGCAACAAAAAATTGTGCAAAGAAACATTTACTGTATCCTGGATGCTTTGCAAGGCCACTCATTCATGCCTTTGGTACAACAGGAAGAGTACATCGGCATTGTTCACCCAAGAAGTACAAAATCCACAACTATTGGGATTAGAACAATATATACATAGAATGAGGAACCGCAGAGCACTAACTGCCTATCCATTCAGTACGAAAGCAGAATTTTCAAGGCTCTTGCATTCCACAGGGTTTAACAGAAAATTGCACCAGCATTTGCAATCACAATATCAGGTCAGGATCATCTTCATAATCAAAATCTTGTTCACTTGAAGCCCTTAATCTCTTCGCATCTCTTGGCCCACCTCTTCCTTTCTTTGGTTTACCCCTACGGTATACATGCAGATTTTTTAGTTCATAAAGCATGCATTCTTTACATATTTTCCAAGGTTTGTGGAACAGATTTCTGTAAACTAAGCAATTACTTAATTTGACAAGATTAAAGCAAAGACACATTAGTTGAGTGCTTACTGTCCATTTGCATAAATTCCTCCACCTTTTGAGCGACCAGGACCATAATCTGATCTCCCATCTGAGATAACAGAAATGCAATGAATAGAATCAAATTCATGCCAGGAAAGTTATTGAAATGCTCACTTATATGAACTCACCATCTCGTCCAGCTGCAATCTCTTCTGCCTATAATAAACAGATTAAGAAAATACATGTTACAAGTCAGACATAACCAATTTGTGAAAAGAAGCCGACACTTAATTAATATGTGGACCATGAGTGAAATGAATTAAAGGAAAGAAAACATAAAAGGATGATTAATTTTATGGAAGGGGTGTTAAGATGATGAAAGGATCATGCCCAGTAAAGTATCCTGAGTTCAAGAACTCCGAGATCTATGTTTTACCAACTTGAAACTTAAATGCATCGTATCAACCACCAAAGCTACAATTATATCTTAATCAGTTTTTAGATTTTGATGCTCCTGAGTTTGAAGATTTTAAATGTTTACTCCTCTAATATGATAATAACACCGGACAAAGTTGAAATCAAATGACAGGACCTGATCTAATATCATGCAAAACATATTAACTTCCCTTTTGTCAATGGGAAATAGATTTCTGGAACCATATAAAACGAAGGTTTCAAATATTACTTGTATCAAATACCAAATACAGAACAAATCATACAACTCAGTCTAGCAGGAAATTCTAAGCTTTGGTTATTGCTTTACATTTCCATCAAAAAATGCCTCCGAAATGTTTTCTGTTTCTAATTGATTAAAATGGTGCCATCAGATCAGGCATGCTTTGCCAAACTTCCTAATTGAGCTCTGCCATTATGTTTTGCTAGATTAAATTAATGTAGAACAGAGGTAGAGATGCTAAAATAATTTTTTTTGGAAACTGATGCCTCCAAACTGTTTTAATCACTCTTATATTTCCAGAAGATTAACATGCTAAATACTTTCAAAGCTCAAAATTCACAGAAAATTACTATCACCACTTTTATAACAAGGATGTGAAAATTGAACAAGAAATGAACAGTACAACATTATCTTCAATTCTTCCTAGACCTAGTCATTCTTATTACTTAGTGCCCACTAGTGGACATTCCTTTTCCTATTTCTGGTTGGAAGCTTATCACTGAATTTCAGAAACACACCGCTGGAGAGGTCACTGAAGATAATGAAAAGAGCCTATCTTCGGGCTGAAACTTTCTAGACCGCTTCAAGCTGCCATGAAGAAATTAGATATACTAATGTCATACAAATATCAACATGGAGCCAAACTATGATTAAATTCTTGAACACACGAAAGCACATACATTAACTCATCTCTGAGAATCTGATACATAAAAACACAGAAACACATGGATAATTTGATCATAAGAAAATAACCATGAATAACAAAACAGCATGTCATCTACTTAAAGATGAATAGAGGCACACAACGCCTCAAAACTGTTCATTTTTACATAGAAATCAGATGTATACAAAGACAACTGTTGAGGCAACTCCATTGTGTTTTCAGCAGCACTCTATGAACAACCCTTGCTTCTCAGCATTTCAAAGAGTTCTATTTCATCATCCGAAATCTTGGTAAGATTCAATTACAAATGCATCTAGGCAAGTCCCAGTAAGGTATCACTTTATGTGGCATTTTGGCAATCAATACAAGTAACAAAGCTCATGAGTTAGCTTTTCCCAACTATCAATGGAACATAATTGTGGAAGACCCAGACAAATTGATAACAAATATGGTTCGTGATCAGCTATAAAAGATAATACTTTTGGAAGCATGTCATTGCCCTTCTTATTTTCCAAAGGATTAAGAGAATTATAGTTTCTGAAAGAAAATTTATATGCTATTTTTGCACAGCAGAAATGAAATAAACTTCAGAAACTATGAGAACTTAAAAGAACAGGTTGTTTGATCACGAGAAGTCAAGATACGGAAGAAGAAAATTATCAGTGTTTCAAAAAAAGAAAGAAAGAAAGAAAGCCAAAGAGAAGAAATTAATACAGTGCCGTGTTCTTTGATGAAGATAGGAACCCTTCAAATCCTTTTAACACATTGCCACACTGTCCAGGATCCTGTAAATAACTAGTCTCCATATCATACACCTGTGTTAAGACCAAAATGTTATGTACTGCTTGCTAGGAACCATGCGGGATGTTCTGTTAGGAGCTTAACTTCACTTTTTTGTTTTCATTTCAAGTTGGTAAACTTAAGCATAGAAATGGGGTTTAAGAATCATAGACATTGCACCAGAAGTGCATCACTGCATGCACAATTCAATAAGAAACCTGAGTTACAATAGAATTTGAAATCATGGGGATGAAAGAGGATAAATTGACAAATACCAATTAATCAAGAGCTGAGACATGAATATGATATTGTTGAGCACGTGGAGTGCCCAATTTTAGGTCCAATTATATTTTACCCAATTATCCTACAGCAAACAGAATTGCATCGACCCAACAAATATAAAGCACACTTTTTAAATAAAAAAAAAAATGACGAATTAAAATAAATAATTTAGAAGAAAAATCACAATATTATAAGATAAAAAAAAAATTGTAACCGTGTATAGTTAGTCAGACACAGTTTTCGAAGCAACCAAAAGAACCCAGATGCCAACGTAGAAAAAATAACCTGCTTTTCAATGCTGCGAAGCTCCTCGTGAAGCTTGGCTCTCCTACTAAGCAGGGAAGCTAACATTGCTGAAGGGTTCACCGTACCCTTTTGCCCTAAAACAAGATCATCAAGGGTAAAGAATAGCAACACCATAACAAAAAAACTCAATTCAGTTGGAGGGCAACAAAAACAAAGGGTTATTACCTTCCGATTCCATTTTTGCGCGACCTAATTATTTGAGGACTCGAAAGAAGAAGAAAAAAAAGAAAACCCTAAATTCCCAATTTTCGTCTTCTAGGGTTCACTCTCCATGTCTGTTTTCGGTGCGTTCTTCTGCAGTCGGTATTTTCGGAACCACGAGGGTCAACCAATCATGTTACGCCAAGTCAGCCATTGCACTCAAATATGAACGAGGAAACGGTGTCGTATGACTTTTAGTAGAAAAAGACAGTGGAGGAGTGGGATCCACGAAGGCACGAACTGTGGAGATGTCATTCCTTGTATATAATATGAATAATCGATGATAGGTTGGATTAAAAATATTTTTTATTTGTTATTAAATTATTTAGTTATTTGAAAAAAAAATTAAACGTTTTTTATTTTTTAAGATAAAACAGGGGGGAGGGGCGACTAAATAAGTTATTTATTTTTTCCATTTTATTCATATTTTTCTGAATATTTCAATACTTTTTTACTTTAGAATATAATAGAATTTCTATTTAAAATTAATAATTATAACATATTATAAATAAATAATTAATTAATAATTCTAAATACATATTTTTAGTTTGACTTCATTTTCTAATTAATATTTTATAAAAAAATTATTTATAATATAAAATCAATATAAATTTTAATAATATTATTAAATGATATATTATTGGGCTTTTTGACCCTTTTGTTCTTCATTAATTAAAAAGTAATCATTTTGTCCTTCACCCAAAATATGCCACCAATCTGCCCCTATTTAATCAATTACACCAAGGGACATAATTAATTAAACAGACAAAATACGTATAAAATGTTGACTCCGTTATTTAACCGATTAAGCCATTGTTATTTAATCGATTAAATAACGTCAGTTTCATTTTTTTATAAACCCCCATTTGATAGAGGGGGTTATAATTGCTTATAACCCTAAACCCCAATTCGTGATTTTGCCCAAAAACTTCCTCCAATCGTGCGGTGGCTTCACAAAACAACATCAATCTCTCATTCCTTTCTCGTATTGGTATGCATTCATCGGTTTACACCACAGTTTTCTTCATTTTTTTTGTGATTTATGAACTCTAGTTTTTCTCACTATTGTTTGGTTCAATTGGAGTGTGTGTTTTGATTTGATTTTTGGGTTTGATGGTTGTTTAGTTTAGGTTTAGGGTTAGGTATGTATGTTTGGGGTTTAGGTTTTATAGTTTTTTTTGTCAAAATTTTATTTCTGTTTTTTTTTTTTTTTTTGATTATGTTTGTTTGTTGTCTGTTGATAAATTATCATGTATTATTATAGGTTCTCATTGTTGTTATGGCTACCCGCAGACAATCAAGGAATATCGATGGAGAAAGACGGATGAAACAACATCGGTGTTCACATTTTGTCTGTCTTTCACCATTTTCACCATCAGTGTTCCTTGATCGTCTGTGGGCAGCTATGACAACAACGAGAACCTACAACAACACATGATAATTTATTAACAAACATAAGAAATCAAATTTGAACCACAACAAAAACCTATGAAACCTAAACCCCAAACATACATACATAACCCTAAACCTAAACTAAACAGCCATCAAACCGAAGAATCAAATCAAAACACAAAATTCAATCGAACTAAACAATAGTAAGAAAACTAGGGTTCATAAATAACAAAAAAATGAAGAAAACTGTGGTGTAAATCGATGAATACATACCAATACGTGAGAATAATGAGCAATTGATGCTGTTTTGTGAACCCATCGCACGATTGGAGGAAGATTTTGGGTAAAATCATGAATGGGGACTTAGGATTTGGTTATAATCGATTATAACTCCCGTCTGTCAAATGGGGTTTAAAAAAATAAAATTGGTGTTATTTAATGGATTAAGCAACAGTCGCTTAATCGATTAAACAATGGGGTCAACATTTTTTTGTGTATTTTGACTGTTTAATTGATTTCTCCCTGTTGTGTAATCGATTAAACAGTGGCATATAGGTGGAATGTTTTGGATGAGGGGCAAATGGTTATTTTTTAATTAATGAAGGACAAAAGGATCAAAAAATTATATTATTGCATAATTTAATAAATTTAATAACATAGTAACTATTAATTTTACTAAATTTTTTATAATTAACAAATACAATATCAAAAGGTCTTTATTAAGGCTATGATGTGGCCTGGTTAAAGGGAAGTAAATAAATATGAAAAATATAACTATAAGATTAAAAAATAGATTCACGGAGGAATAATCATCAATGCACAAGTGTAAGAACTCGCACCGCTAGATAATTATTTAAATAAGAATATCGATGCCAGAGCATAGATTTGATAAAGATTATGTATAATTATGGTAAGATAATTATTTAGAAAGTCAAATAATGCTTAAAGTCACTTTTATGATGAAAAGTGTAGATACCAGTTTTGCTTCGCAGTATAAATGCGTACCGATGAAGTGTTTCGAAAAATTATAATAAAAATATGATAATTCATAGAAAAATGTCTAGGTAAAGATTATAAAGTTTGATATTAAAATGATTAGCAGAGCTATTAGAACTAATACCGACGGATTAAATGAGTGCATCTATAAATATGAATTTGCACATAACCCTAGGTCTGATTCCATCAAGTTCTTCATGTGTTCTTGGCTGCCACTTTCCCTACACAACTCCATAGCTTTCCTTGCATGAAAACCACCCAAGGCATCATCTTTTCACTTGATTCTTCCTCTTCCACCTTGTGAGCACTTGAGAGTAAGCCTTGTGAGGGAGAAAGATACCTTCTTGGGGTGTTGTAGCTGCTAAGTTTGGGGAGTATGGGGCTGCCTTTTAGTTTGAGTTGTGTTTGAGCTTTCTAAACTACCATTGAAGTTCCAAGGAGTGAGATTTGTGAAGAAAGAGCCAAGCCTGGAAGCTTAAATTCGTGCATCTCTGTATACAGTACCTAAGAATGGATTTACCAACCTTAAAGGCCATTCTTTTTCTGTTTGTAGAGCTTGGGGTACATTCTACACCTTTGTTCTTGAGTATTCATAGAAAAGAATGAACCTTGATGCATGTAATATGAGAAAGTTGGTAACCTAAGTATAAAAATGGTATAACACGTCTAAAAATGCATGCTTGAACGTCTGTAAGTGTTAAAAATGGAACCTTGGAAGGATATCTTCGAGAAAATGCAGAACTGCATTCCGTCACGAAATATCCGGATATGATATCTGATATTGATATCCGGATATGGATATTCAGATATTGGGTCTGTGATATCCGGATATGTCCCCGAGGAATATCCAGATATTCTGGAAAAATCATGTTTTAAGCTATTTTGTCCAAACAGAAGCGCGTGCTTAGTTTCTGGACTTTTAAATGGTTAGTATGGACCTCCGTAATGATGTAACTAAGCTAGAACCAATAATATTGAAGGCTTATGGCTTTGAGAGAAGCCTACGATCTTTAAACGAAAAAGGAAATGTTGTCCTAATGCAATAAACTTCTAGACTATGGATATTGATGATATTTCTGGTATAAACAGACTGTGATTGTGCTATTTGGTGACCCGTGGACCTTGTGTGGGCTTCTAGTTGGTATTACTAGCTTGACATGTAAGCTTTCGTGTCCTCGATTTTACCCGTTGATGGTTCCACCATATCTCATGGAGGGGTGGTTTATATGCATGATGTGTTTCTTGAACCAATTTTCAAGATTTACCAAAAATTCAAAAAGAAGATAGGGGAAACAAAACAAAGAAGATTCAAAAATAAAATTAAAAGTAAAATAAAAAAAACAAAGAGGAAACGTCAAGAGTAGTTCCCTGTTCTAGACGAAAAAATCAGTGTAGCTAATGATATCCTCTTCAAACCTCATAGGGTAGTACACAATGCCTTGCATTCCTCAATTCCCAGATTTAATATATTATTGTCATTAACCATCAAGTTAAATATAGAAAATTCCAAAATTTCAAAACTTTTTGCACACACTGGAAAGAACACGATCATGAATGTCATAGAGGTTAGAAATGTTAGCTCATACACAATAGTGACAGAAAATTAATCTTAACATAACAAATTACAAAAGTAAAGGGGAAATAAACATAAAATTAAAGAAATAAAAAATAGAAATAAAAATAGAATAAAGCAGAAAAAGAAGCTAAGACAATGGAAGTTAGCAAGCTCGATCATCCTCCTATGTATTCCCTGTGATGTCTTGCACTTGCATAACCACCAGCTTAAACCATGCCTAATCTATTAGTCATAGTCAACTTTATTTCTTTTTATTTTTATTAGAGAAAATATAAAACATGAAATTTTCATTGTGTTGCCTCCTAATAAACACTTATATAACGCCGCGAGCCTGACAGACTGATGATCAAGGTGGGTTGAAGCACACAAGTAAAGTTGGCTTTGTTCCCTTTGTCATAGTCATCTTCTTAGATTTCTTTATTTGAACTTTGGGTTTGCTTTTAGCTCTTAATTGGTGAAGACCCATAAATTTCATTTTTTCACCTCCCTTGTATTCAATAAATGTGCATGTACTTCTGTGGGGAAAAACATAAGAGTTGAAGAATTAATTGCAAAAACATCTACTTACCTAGTTTGCATCCAGGTTAAGAGTTACCTCATTTTTTTTCATCAGCCACTATTTCTGTAGTGGCCAAAAATAATTCTTCAACGAGGTGAGAAATATTAGGTTCCTATTCCATATTGATGATTGCAAAGTAAAGATGCTCGCCTTGACTATTGCATCTTCAATAATACTAACTGACACTTGAATAAAATGATCGAGTAATTGTAGAGTTATTTCCATGGACCTGATATTCTTTATTCTCATTTTCTCTAGCAAGGTCATTGGCATCAAATTTACACTTGATTCGTTATTACACAAGGTTTGCTCAAGATACATGTCTACCATGGGGTAAAAAATGTCAATGATTCTTGGATCATTGATCTTTGGAGGTAGTTTATGCTGAATAGTGTCACTACATACCTAAATTGAAACCACAAGATTAGTGTCCTTGCATTATTTCGCATTTGAAGAGCCAATCTCTGGCTCCTTATAACTCGCTTCTTCAACTGAGTTTTCTTCCACAATTTTTAGGTGTTTCATCATAGGACAGTAGAATGATAATCTTCATTGGAGAGGGGGGTCTATTCCATATATG